CTGTCTTCGGAGGAGCCGCTGTAACGCCCGCCTCTTACAGAGGTCAGGCCGAGGCGGGCCCCTGGGGCCGCAGTCTGGGGTCCGCCCCTTGTCTCCGGCCGCTCCAGGGCGGTCAGCCCCAGGCCGCCCCCGGGAGCCGTCACTGCCGCGGGTGTCGGGTGAATGCCGGCGGCTCGGGGCAGCCACTTCCCAGAGTGTTTTGGCTGCTGACTGACTCTGGCGTTTGTTTGTTCGATGTAAAACTGGAAATTCCGTGAACAAAGGCGACTACACTTCACGTTCGCCTCCGTGAGGTTGCGCGTCTGCCCCCGCAGCGGCGCTCGGGCACGGGGCTGGTGATTGACACCCTCTGGATGGCTCTGACGAGGCATTTCATGCAAATCATGTTTGATGAGGCTGCTGCGCCAAATTGCATTTCTTTCTGATTATAGCCCTCGCAGATGCGAATCCAGACTCCGGCCCAGCTAGGAAAAAGCCTTTCTTTGAACCCCACTGTTCTTACCGCCGCTTGCGGCGCCTGCGCTTACTGGCACTTACGGGTCGGGAGGGCTGGCACTCTGCGAGCGGGCCCAGGCGCGGTGGCCGGCGAGTGCGGGCCGGCGCCCTCCGGCGTCAGCCCGTTCGGGCCGAGCAGGGCCTGCGCTTTCAGATGCGGGTGACGTACTGCCGGCCTCCTGCCTTTGCTAGTGGGGCTCTGATTAACCGTGATTACCATACATTATCATACCATCAGATTTAATCATATCAGCGAATTCCCATCTGCAGCGGGAACCGCAGCCGTTGAGCGCGTGGGCAGGGGCCTGGGCCCAGCGGGTCGGGGAGGCTGGAGAGGACCGCAGGCGCGGCCTGGGCGGGGAGCTCGAGGACGTGGGCTGCTCTCGGCCCTCGTCCTCCCCGGGGAGGTAGCGGACACTGCCCCTCGGCGCTCGGAGAGCCAGCCGGCGCGTCGGAGCTCAGACCCGAGCCTTCGTCAGGGAGGGCCTCTGGCCTGACGTCAGCCTGTCTTGTCCTTGAGCGCGCGTCCAGGACCTTTTCTGGGATTTATGTCCCGGGAGCGCAAGACCTGTGGGTTCTGTGCAGAAACCTTGTGCCGCCGGAAGGAGGCCTGTTGCGCGGCCGGCGCCATGCGGGCAGGCTCACGCCGTGACGACCGGTTAGGCCGGGCACAGCCCCAGCCGCCAAGCTGCCGTGCGGCCGGCCCCTCCCACAGGCTGGCAGCGGCTGGCTGTTTGTCTGCCCCTGGCGTGGCGCCCGCAGGGCCCCGCCGGGCCTGTGCCGTCGGCCCGGAGTCCGCTCGGCGGCCTGCTCGGCCTGCTGCCCGTTTGGCCATGGGGACCCTTGTCGTCTTCGGCTGCTGTGCGAGACCCCGTCGGGGGCGTCGGTGCTCCGCTTCGGGCGTGCGCACCCCAGCGCCCGGAGCGGGGTGGTGGCCGGGTCTGTCGCGGCCCCCCCGGCCTTTCCTGGGGAGACGCTCTCTGTGGAGCACCGTGGGTGGGCTGGGGGCGGCAGGGCTGGTGTGCGGCGCACTCCAGTGGGGCTCTCCCGAGGTCTCCGGCGTGCCGTCCCCCCGGCAGACGGGAAGTGGGTGGACAGGGGCGAAGCGCCTGGTCCTCGGGCGTTGCGGGAGCGGAGCTGAGGCTGAGCAGGCCCCCAGCCCGGGCGCAGGCCGCGGCTCCTCCCGGGAGGGGAGGGGAGGCCTGCCGCGGGCACTTGGCGCGGGCGAGTGGCCGCCTGGGAGGAGCAGTGGTGGGGACAGAGGCCTTCCCCTTCCGTGAGCCTCCTCAGTGATCCGGCGTCCGCCAGAGCGGACGGCCCGTGCTCACCCGCGTGCGCCAGTCCCGTCGCCCCGCGCCAAGTGGCGCGGTGGTGAGCGCTGGCAAGGTGCCGGGCTGCTCAGTGAGCTCAGAGATGCGTCGTCTGTGTCGTGTGAGGGTGAGACGTGCCTTCCAGGAAAACGCGGGGAGCGCTTCCCTGGGCCTGGCGCCGAGGGGCAAGCCAGAGGACGAGCGAGCGAAGCGAGAGGATTACCGGCGGCCAGGAGGGCGCGTGGTGGGGTCACGCCGCCCCCGCGCCCTCGCATTAGCGGCCTAATCAGTCAGCTGCGAGGTGGCTCCCGGCCTCGGCTTCCCATCCAGCCCTTTGCATTTGAAGTGAGATTAAGAAGTGAAAACACGTAGAGGAAGGTTGTAATTTATTGAAAATTCATGAAGCCTCAGTGACATTGTTAAGGTATTTAATTTGCGTTATTAAAATACAGCCGCTGACCCTTTTAGGGAAGCCGATAAATCACATAATAGCTGTCGGAGCCTCTTTATTCTCTGCATTATACGATTAACTTTGCTAAGCAATTTATGCAAAGTTTTCTCTCTTTTTGTAACTGAAGCGATCGGTCCTTCCTGAATAGGATTAAGATCGATAACATCTTGTAATTAACAAGAGATGCAAAAAGTGAAAGTGCAATTTGTGTAAGAATTCTGTGAGGGGGAGTGATAACTTCTTCCTTGGACTTGGAGGGGATATAAAAAGCAAAGTGAAATAGAGCAATTACCTGGGAGGATTAAAGTGGCCTCTTCTTCGGGAGGCAGAGGCCGGCTCGGACGCTGTCTGCGCGGCGTGTGCGGCCCGTGACGCCCCAGAGGGCTCCCTCTGCCGACCGCCTCTCCTCTGTGCCCGTGGAGTGGTAAACATTGTTGAACGAAGGCTCGCACAGGTGGCCTCTGCGTGCTGGGGAAGGCCCCGCCACGGTCTGTCCCACCGCGCCGCCGAGTGACCGCTGGCGCCGAGCGATCCCTGCTGGCCGCCGTGCGCAGAGGGTCCGGCCTGTGTGTCTCTGGGCCGCCCGCGCGTGAGACACGGCCGTGCTCTCCACCCCGTGGGCCGGAGACCCAGCAGTGACACGCGCCCCGGAGCCTCCGTCTCTGAACAAACGCGAGGACGTTCCGGGCTCGCACGCAGGCTGTGGTGCTGCCGGGGACCCTGTTGCCCTGGCCCAGGTGTGGCCGCTGGGGCTGCGGCGGGCCCCTGCGTGCGGTGCGCAGGAGGCGGCGATGGGGGTGTTCCCCGCGGACCGCCACTCCGCCCGATTTAAGGGGACGCGGCCTGTGTCTCCAGGGGCCGGCAACGTCGGGGCGTCGGGGCAGCTGCGTCGGGGGCGCTCCTGTCCCCAAGGGCGCAACTGACCGCGGGGCCCTTTGAGGCCACGTGAGCGCGAGGCGGCCTCCGGGGGCGCTGTCCGCGCCTGCCGCGCTTCCTCAGGCCTGCGTCCCGCGCCGAGCTCCGAAGCCTCCTGGCCAGGTGCCCTGTCAGCACCGGTCAGCGCCAGGCGACCGCTGGCCCCCCGGTCACCCAGCTCAGCACACCTGGCGCTGCCACTTGAGGGCGTGTGAGGTGGCACTGCCCAAGCCCCGTCCTACTACTCTGCCGTGCGGCGCCAGCCAGGGCTCCCCTTTACCTGGCCTCGCCCCGCTGCAGCTGGTGACCCCCGGTCGGCCTCACAGGCCGCTCAAAGGCAGCCGCCACTTCCTTTCGCCCGCTGGGACCAGCCTCGGACGCCCCACGGCTGACTTTTGCCTGGTGCTCACCGGCCGCCCTGACTGGGCACGCAGGGCCCCCTACGTGGGTACGCGCCTGGCTGCACACTGCGGGCGGCGGGGGCGCCGCCCCCTGCTGAGCTGAGCCCCCGACCGCAGGCCCATGTGCGCCCCAGGCTGGGGCTGTCTCCCGCATGGAGGGCCCCTGGAGTCAGGGTGAAGCCCCGATGACACGTTGCCAGTGCCGTGCAGGGAGAGGCGCGTGGGCCTGGCCGGGCTGCTGGCGTTTGGGCGCCCGTGGGAGTGGCCAGGCGGCATGTGGGCGCTGAGTCAGGAGCGGGGCCGGGCCCCAGCACTAAACTGCCGAAGGGGACAGCTCACGCGCCCGGCACGCGCTCAGCTTGACGCAGAAACAGCCTTGGCAGCTGCGGATGGTGACGGAGAGCTCCCAGGAAGTACGGACGCGGTCAGAGGCCAGAGCAGTCGTGCGCCTGTTGTCAGGAAGCCCGGGCTTTACTGGAGATACCGACGACACCCTCTCCTTGAGTTCACTCCCAGGTCCAGGAAGACTGGCTTCAGGAAGGCACGCGAGGAGGCCCAGGGAGCGAGTGCTCCCGGATTTTAGCCCGCACAAAGTCAGAAGTCAAACCCATTGGCCGCCTGCGGAGCCGGAGCCCGTCGGCTCCGCTTGGGCTTTGCCTCGCCCATGTGGACCCGGCCAGTGGCCTCGGAGGGGACGGCGCCCTGCTGCGGGACGGAGGAGTCTGGGCTCTGCCCCGGCCGGGCGGGCCGTCGAGACCCTGGTCTGAGCCAGGTGGGCTCACCCTTCCGCGTCCACCCGGTGTTTGAAATCCCCAGCTGTGGTGAGAAAAACCCCCTCTGCGGATGCCTGGGGCAGAACAGGCCCGCCCGGCCCCTGGCTCCGCCCCTGCTCGCTGGTGGGCGGGCTCCGGGGCTGCCCAGCCAGCCGGGGTCTCTGAGCGTGTGTGTGAGGCCGGGGCCCCGGGGCCCATCCGTTCTGCGTGGCCAGGGCATCGGCGGGGGCGGAGGCTCTGCGCGGGCGGCACACAGTCACCCGCTGGGGCTGGGCCCCCACGGCCCCCGGCATCAGAGGCCAGGCAGGGTTGGCTGTATTTCTGCATCGGTTGGAAAGTACGGTTTGAAGGTTTTCCCTGGAAATAATGCCAGGGCCTTGACTGCTGGTTTACCGTCCAGGAAGTTTTGAAGATGTTTTTAAACCACCGTTTGGGGCGTCTGTGTGTGAGGACAAGTCCACACGCGAGACGAAGACGGGGCGCTCTGTGGGAAACGTGCTCTGCAGGGCGCCCGGAGCAGCTGGCCGACTCCCTCCTCCTCCGAGTCCCTCCTTTAAAGCCCAGTTGGTGGTCGCCGGCCGGCAAGCGGCGGCCCATGGGCGCCACCCCGCCCGGCGCCTGGC